GAAGTGATGCAATTACGGAAAATTAAGTTGATTCTGTTTATGGGTCTTCGTGTTTCAGCATGGCTTAACTGGATTATTGGGGGTCGTTCTCGATTGGTTGTGTTCAACGGAGAAAACTTGTTTCAGTTGGAGTTTAATTGATTAGGTTTTGGATGTGTATAGAGAGCACATTATTAGCTATTTCGCTAATATATTGGATAAGTGTCTGATTGATTCAGCTGTTACTTGATGAAGATCTTCACGAACTCTATTTAAAAAAAAATATCACGACATGTTCTTCTATCGTACAAAAATCGAATCTAACGATGAAGAAATGCCATCAAAGAGACAAAAACTAATGGATAGGTGATTAAAATTCAAGATACACTATTTATAAATAAGAAGATAAACGTTTTTAAGAATATTATAATTGATAACGTAATCAGAATGAAGTATCTGAATTCAATGGTATTATTCACATGTATATTTATATTTTATGAGATTTTCTATGATATGAATGGAATTTAATAAAAAAACTTTTTAACTAAAATTACAGCAATCACACTTTTTTGATGAAATTGTACCTACATAATGATAAAAAATATTCGAATTCGAGTTTTTTTCCATTTTTTACATTTTCTGAGAACATTCACTAGAGTAATGTATATTTTTTACACCGTCAGAAAGAAGAGATTTCAACGAACAAAAAGCACATCGACATTTTGAAAAAAGCTGATATTTTGATGCAACAATTTTAGATTGAAAATTAGGGTGGTTTTTTCATATTAAGTCAAAATAAAGTGAAAAAATGAATAATTCAAATCAAATGAATTACAGTGTATTTGGGACATAAAAAGGTAAGTTTCCACCAAATTTCGTAGGATTTTTTTATTGAAAAAGATGAAAATAAAAAACCAAAAANGTTTCTCGGTATATCAGGCATTCTTGATTTCTCCTATATGCTGATGATCTCAAGATTTTTAGAAGAATCGAAATCGAAAAAGCTTCTGATATACTTCAAGATGATCTCAATAATCTATCTACTTAGTTTTCAGTATCTAACCTTTCTCTTAACGAAGCTAAATGCATCATATTGAGTTTCACACGAAAGAACTCACCCACTATCAAGGACTATTTCATTAATCACACCAATTTACAGAGAGTCAATGAGATGAAAGATCTCGGGATCATTTTACTGGTGTGTTCAGTTTCTCTCTGCACATTGAATACGTGGTATCTGAATGTTATAGAAAAATGAACTTTGTCTTAAGATCTAGTCGTGAATTCAATCACGATACTTGTTTGCTACTCTTTAACACAATTGTTCGTTCTAAGCTGGAATATGGTTGTGTCATTTGGAATCCAAAGACCTTTTTACATTCTGATAGTATAGAAAAAGTCCAGAAATGATTATTAAGAACACTCTTTTTCAGAAAACACAAATTCTGGCCTTTATTTATATCGTATTCTAGTCAATTAAAAGAATTTAATATGCAACCATTGAAAAACCGCCGTGAATCCTCGGACGTGATATTTGTTTTTAACAATCTTAGTATACTGAAAGTACCTGAAATTCCCTATACTATTGATTTTATTGTACCTGACTTAAAACTGAGAAGAAAAGACAATCTATTTTGTGTCTCAAACAATTTGTCTCCTTTTCAACAATGTCTCGAAACGTTAACAAAATGGTGAGGAACTGTGAACTGGATATATTCAGTATTACAGAAGGACAACTCCTGAATTTTTTACGATAATTTTATTATCCATTGTTTCATATTATTGAATTTCATATAATTGCATCATGCATATATAATTGCATCATGTAAGTTAAAACCATTCTGTTTGTTGTTCAGTTTAAATAAATTTATATTCTATTCTATTTTTACTTCTCCATCTTCTTCCAAGGTGAGGAAAAAATAACTGCAAAAAAGTCTTCATAAAGATATGCTTACACAAAAGCTTTTTTAGATACAAACTGGAAAGAAACCCTTCCGAAACAACTACTTTCACATTAACGTTGAATTATGTGGAAAGAAGAAACTTTTCAAAAGAACTACCTTTTCATGAGCATTGGATTACAAGAAAATCTTCCATGGAAACAATATACAATCAGACATTTGGAAGATTATCTGTAGAGAATATCACTCACGTGTGAAACTATCATCCTCAATTGTGCTTCGGGGTAAATAATTATGTCATCAGCTCATCAGCTCATTTGGAAATATGATACAAAGCACTTATTTTTTCCATAATATTACTTTCTTTGACAGTTTCCCAAATTTTTTGGGTGAAATTGGAGAAATGGAAAATCAAAAAGCTTACTTTTCCGAAAAACTAATCTGTTTTGAAAATATTCACCCTTTCGATTCGTGAACGACTACAATTTCTAGTATTATATCATCAATTTTCTTCAACCTAAATATTTGTTGCAGGTTGTGGTCCAGGTCACGCCCTTCTTGGCAAAACAAGAAGACCCAGGACAGCCTTTACCTCTCAGCAGCTTCTGGAACTGGAGAAACAATTCAGACAAAACAAGTACCTCTCCAGGCCAAAGCGATTCGAGGTTGCTACGAATCTTATGTTGACTGAAACTCAAGTAAGTATAATCAAATCAAATATACATCGAAATAATTTGTATCTCTGTATCAGTCGAGTAGGAAGGGTGAGTGTAGGGTGAGAAAATATATAACGGTCAGACTGAAAGATTCATCCAAATTTGTTTCAAAGAACACACGTCACACATCTGATTTTGAAGACCAGAAAAGTCTAGTGTTGCACAATACACTTCGAAGAAAGGTCATGACAATAGGCTTCTCGATGCTTTCAAAGTTCTGGAAATAGCAGAGTATGGCATGAGAACCATGAACAGAGATTGAGGTTTCAATCCATACAGTTCACTGTAATCTACTTCATATCACGAAGAAGCCAAGTTGGTTGGCGAAACTCTCGTCTTTTGGACGTAGTTCTGGTCATCTCCTGAGGATGCTCACTTGGTTAGCTCTACAAGTGTTGAGAGACGGTATTTTTATTCTTATGTGGAAGAAGTGTTTTTGGTTGTCTCGTGGAGAAAATAACTGTGTAAGGAACACTCACTGTCGATCAGTCCCAAGAAGACTGAGGTGGTTCTTTTCAACAGGAAAAGAAGTTTATCAGGCTTAAAACCTCCCGAAATCTTCAAAAGCAAACTAGATTTCTCTGAAGAGGTGAAATACCTTGGTACTATCCTATAGGTGGGTTAAAGGGCACGACAGGAGTAAAGGTAATCGCATTGCCGACTCTTTAGCCAAGGAAGCGGCTGGACTGAGAATTTTAGGACCCAGTGGCACCAGCGGCCTGATGACTTCGACAATTGCGGAACTAGTCAAATTTTACACCCAAGCTCAATCTTTAAAGAGATGGGATGGAATCAAAGGATGCAATTTTGTCAGGATCACCTTGGGCGACCCTGGGAAGCTGGCGCCCAAGNTCGTATTGCAAAAAAACGCCCAGCAAGAAAATATACTATGTCTTTTTGAAGAAAACAAAATCAAACCGCAGACATGACAGATAGTGAATTTTTGAAACAATAATTGAACAATAGTAATTTACGCAAGAAGTCCGAAAAACATTGTTTTTTGGATGAGAAGATAAAATTCTAGGACGAGCAGTAGACGGGTCCTGGAAGTCTGCGAGTCCAAAAAAAATCTGTTTTCGGAAACCGTGTAGAGCAAAATATCGATGAGACACATTTCTTTATTTATATTTCATTTGTAAAACAAAATTTCGAACATTCTGATTCCCATTTGTATTAAATGATGATTGCCCCTCCATTCGACGAAAATCTCTGTCCTCCGATCGCAATTTTTAAATAAGAAAACAAAAAAGTCGCTTGGGACTAGATCTGATGAGTAAGGCGGATGGTCAAGCAGTTCCAACAGTGATGGGTTGTCTTGGTGGAACAGGATTTCCTTTTCCTACAAATGTGGCCGTTTTTTCGCAAGTTCTCTCTTCAACTTGTCAAGAAATAATGCGTAATATGCTCCTGTAATGGTTTTTCCTTTTTGAAGATAATCGAATGGAATAACCTCATGACAGTAGCATACCTTCAAGAATTCCGGCTCACTACTTACTGAAAAACACGTGCAAAATTTGAGTGGATCCATTTTGGGGATTTTTGGACCTCAAGCCCAGTTCACACGAAAGGGACAAAGGTCCGCGCCTTGTCTCTGCCGTTCCGTGTGAATTGGACCTTAGACTCTCAGAGCCTACACTTTCACTTTTGCCGTAATACAGTCGACCAATCAGAAGCTACCGCGCGTACAGCGGAAAATTCAAATCAGTAGATGAGCAAGCTCGGTCCGAGCACAATTCAAGGTCGTGCATCGTTGGTAAGTGTTTCAGAGAGAAATTTTAGTGAGTGGGAGAGGGAAACGTGTGACGTAATCGATGCAGGATGGAATGAGTATTGGAGAGATTCAAAGAGCGTGGACCCCCTTAGGACTCCGTCTCACCCATTGGGGCCAGTTCACACGGAATGGACGCCTGGGAGGGACGAGACGCGACCCTTTGTCCCTTCCGTGTGAACTGGGTCGGAGATCCAAAAATCAACAGAATGGACCTACTCAAATGTGTACGTGTTTTTCCATAGGGAATCAACCAGAACTCTTGCTGCTATATCACTCATAACTATGCCAAAAAACAATCGCCATCATTTTCCCAGCTGAAAAAACAGTTTTTCTATCATTTGCAACCGGTTCCTCCTTTGCAGTCCACTGTTTGAACTGTATTTTTGTTTCGGGCGAATAATGGTGTATCCAAGTTTCATCTGAAGTAATTAATCGGCGTCAAAACTCGGTTTTATTGAGTCTCAACTGCGCCAACAGAGCGTTGGAAATGATCATTCAGACATTTGTTTGTATTAAAGAGGTTGAATTTTTTGGAATTCTTGGTATATTTACATGCTGCCTTCACGATTCGTGAACGACTACAATTTCTAGTATTATATCATCAATTTTCTTCAACCTAAATATTTGTTGCAGGTTGTGGTCCAGGTCACGCCCTTCTTGGCAAAACAAGAAGACCCAGGACAGCCTTTACCTCTCAGCAGCTTCTGGAACTGGAGAAACAATTCAGACAAAACAAGTACCTCTCTAGGCCAAAGCGATTCGAGGTGGCTACGAATCTTATGTTGACTGAAACTCAAGTAAGTATAATCGAATCAAATATACATCGAAATAATTTGTATCTCTGTATCAGTAGAGTGGGGAGGGTGAGTGTAGGTCCACAGTACTTAGGCCACATGTGAGCCATTGTACATCCTCTCGAGGAGTTGTCCTCCTAAGTCATCGTCCATCCTGTCCTTTCCAAGGAGGTGGACAGGTCTCTGGGAGACATCTCCTTTATATCGGCAGGTGCAGGCCAAGACTCGCCGTTATTGACGATAACTCCGGACTTGCCTGACAGTTTCATCTTCCTGTTCATATATTCTGCATAGAGGTGTGTCCAACAGCCCCATATTGTGGAAGTGGTGACAGTGACCAGAAATCCTACTGTCAAGCGTAGGTTTTTCCTGGTCATCGCCAAATATTTCTTCGGCCCCAGCTTCCCAGGGTTGCCCAGGGTGATCCTGGCAAAATTGCATCCTTTGATTTCATCCCATCTCTTTAGATGTCACTGGGTTCTAAAATTATTAGTCCAGCCGCTTCCTTGGTTAAAGAGTCGGCAATACAATTACCTTTACTCCTGTCGTGTCCTTTAATCCACCTCAAGATAATGTTATTATCTACCAAGGCTTTGGCTAAATCTTGGCACTCTAGTACTAGCCCTGAGGTACGTTGTCTGTTCAAGGCTAATGGGTCTTGTCTGCTATCAGTGAAGATTGTTATGTTTTTGCCAGAAATTCCGTTCCTAGTTATTTCTTTCGTGGCGATCGAGATACCAGCCAGTTCTGTTTGAACCACGCTGGTACTTTTTCCTATTCCCTACTCGATCCTTAGACTTAGTGTTCTAAAATACACTCCACATCCTGAGCCTTCTTTGGTTTTCAAGCCGTCTGTATATATACGTATTGCATTTGTAGCATCTGACTCTGTGTTCTGTTTTATTTGTATTTTGTAGGGTTTATCAAACACAAACCTGGGCTCAATTGCATTACTGGTTGCCTGCAGCAGAGGTTGCGCAGTAAGCGATTGTCGCCATAGGCTCAGCCTCAATTGACGCATTCCTACTTCGAGGTTTACACCAGTCGTAGGCAATCGTAACTTGGTCACTAACGCAACCATTTATTAACCATATTCGATGAGGACTCACTGAATTTGTTTCAATTCAACAAATGTTAATCTTGAAGACAAGATGTTGGGAAACTGAAGGTCTGGAATACATTAAAAGAGCTGTGAGGACTGTGAGAAAATATACAGGCTGATTCACGGTGGATGGCACATTAGACGTTTCTGGTGAACCAGACAACGGATCACTTTGAAAATTTAATGGAGGGCATATTCGGACATTCTCTAGCCAACTAAAATATTTTCGACAATGCGGTGTTGCCGCTTCTATTAGAAAGCAGTGGCAACTTTGATTTTTCAAAAGGAACACTCTATATATAATATTATTTTTGGAATCTCCAACAATTGCCC